CCCCCCCCCCCCAAGATAATTGTATCCTGGTGTATTGTACACTAGGAGCCCTAGTGGCACAGTGGTTAAAGCACTCAGTGGTTAATTTAAAGGTCAGCAGTTGAAACCCATCAACTGCTCCACTTGGGAAAGATATGGCAGTCTGCTTCAGTACAGATTGACAGCCTTGGAGAACCTATGGAGCAGTTGTCTGTCTCTCATGGATGTATATGGGAATCACCTTGACAGCACCAGGTTATATTCTAAAATCTGAAGCTGTTTAACCTTTCCCTTTCATGTGTATTATATTGGGCCAGATTTTCATAATCTGAATTTAGGGCCATAAAATGAAAAGTGATAAAATGTAAAAATTGCTATATTATTAAGTAAAGGACAAATAGAAAGCAAGCAAAAAATGATCTGTTATACTATTTAGTTTTTTATTTACTTGAAGCAGTCAAAGAATGGTGTGGTAAAGTAGTGATGGGAATGAATCGATGAGGCTTACTCTGCCTGCTCCTTTCCAGAGAGTCCAATTTTAAACCATGTATTCTTCTTCCTCTAGAATATTACATCAACTTTTAGTTAGATACTTTCTGTCATTTCAATTCTAAGGGTATGGCCCCCTTAAGAACAGATGTGGTCATTTCAGGCCAGGTTAATATATGAATACTTTTGTCAGTATTTTATATTAGTTCTTATAGCCTTGATCTAAAAATTTCAGTAAAAATTCTGAGAAAACAGAGTCCTATACATTTTAGTGTCATTTGAGTTTGTGATATTTTAGCCATGTAATTTCAAACATAGGTAGTTCAATCATTTGGGAATGAATAGAGAGGGCAGATAGAGATAAGCCTTCTCTGAATTGATAAACGTTTTATCTGTTAGTCTCAGGGGTCTTAATTGACATGAGTCACAAGTATAACCATCTCCCTTGTCAACAAAATTGCCTTGATGATAGCAACAAGTGAGCAGTTGTTCAAATAGGGCTTTGTTAGGAGCTTGTGTAGTAGAAAAGTAAGTAATAAGTTGGGATTGTTGTTGTTGGTAAGTGCCGTCAAGTCGATTCCAACCCGTAGCCACCCTGTATAGGGTTTCCAAGGAGCAGCTGGTGAGCTTGAACCATTGACATTGCAGTTCAAACGATTTTGCAGTCTGCCGCATTAGCCCACAGCACCACACCAGGTCTCTATAACTTTGGATAGTTGGTATGAATCAGAACTGACTCAGTGGTACTTACCAACAACTAAGTGACAGATTAGTGATTGCAAGCATTAATTTTCTTGAGCTGAGCCAAAGTGCCCCCAAATAAAATGTCTTGTGATGCAGATGTTTTCTGTTACTGATATTGGACCATATTCAAATGATATTGGACCATTTTAACCAAAGGCAGTACCTAAAAACAGAATCACATAAAAATAAGGGTGAATCTCCTCTATATCAAAGGGCTTCAAAAAGTTCATGGGAAATGGAATTAAAAAATAATGGAATCCTTTTATGAATTTTTTTGAAGTTCCCTTGTATGAGGGCTCTGTATTGGAACATTGTTATTTAAGTGATAGAAATCAATTAATAGTTGTTGTTTTTATTAAATGCCGTTGAATCAGTTCCAACTCACATTGTTGCCTCTGTGTAGTGTTTCCAAGGAGCAGCTGGTAAGTTTGAACTGCCGACCTTGTGGTTCAAACCGACCTTGTGTCCAATGCTTATTATCCTACAGTGCCACACCAGGACTCTAAATTAATAGTAGTGATACTAGTAATGTGAATAATATAAATTAATAGCACTTAACATTTATAAGTGTTTACTATATACTGGCCATGGTGTTAAGTCCCTTACATACGTTTTCTCATGTAATCCTTGTAATAGCTGTATTCTGTAAACAGTATTATTGTTCTCAGATCATTGTGTCACAGATAAATAAATGGAAGAGTAGAGAAAGCAATTTTTCCATTTAAACCCAAGTCTGTTTAATGTAGAGTCCATGTGTTGTAAAGAACTGATCATGCCTGAAGATCTGGCATTCCAGGTTCAGGCCCAAACTTGGTAGAGAGCAGTCCCAGGGCAAGTGGATTGGGTGGTAGTGACAAGGACGTGAGCTTCCTTGACCAGCTGTCATACTCTACTAAGCTGATACACAATACCTTAGTGAATTGAGAATGTCCATATTTGGAGATCATTTACTCTAGTTTTATTCTTGTAACAAAAGGTAGAATGAAATTTTTTCTTTGCTGATTAAGAAGATACTATAATTTTCATTCAGAATAGTTTTGCATTTTTGACAGGTAATTTATGAAGCAAGTAAACATGCAAACATGATGCCAATCCTCCCCAGACTTTAATACTTTAGATTAATTTATTGTAGGGTTCCTTAAATATCTGAATTCCCCTAAGTTCCTTTGTGTTTGTTTACAGTTAATGTGTTAAGAGCCATTGACATTTGAAGATCACCAGAAGTGAAGATAAAACATCTCAAAAATTATAATGTAAGTGAATCGGAAAATAAAAATTAACAATAGACAAAAGTTAATATTGCCAGCAATTATTTCTGGGATAGATATATTTTCCCAAATGAAATTTATGCATATAATTAATCAGTGACTACACACGTCAGTCATGGTTCCATGCCCTAGTTCTTAAAATCCTATATTCTCTTCTACCTGGGGAAAAGTTACTAAGCTTTAATCATCTGGTAATTTTCCATTAGACTTCTTTTGGCTTCCCTGTACTGGTTTTTCTTTTTTTCCTTTTCCTCCTAAGTATTTTACTGTTTAGTTTGGGAAGACAGTGACAAGTGCTTATGCTATTTTTAAAATTGTTTATGTGTAGAAAGTGAAACCTTTACTTTTCATTTGCTGATGCATATTACATATTATATCCAGTTTTAGTTTTACTTCCATTTTTTCTATTAGTCAAAAATATGACCAGTTAGCTTACTTCCCTCCTGGTCTCGAGTCCCGTTCCTACCTTCCTTCCTTTTTCCTTCTTTTCTCCATTTCGACTTTCCCCCTCTATAATACTTGTTTAGCATCTGCTGTGCCTTGCATACTATGCTAGATTTTGAATTCCTAAGATCTTGGTACTTAAATCAGTTATACCATCATTTTATACTGTAAGGATATTAGACATAATCTGGTGTTTCTCAAGAGGAACACCTGCATTTCTGTTACCTGTGATGGATGGTCAAATACATTCTGAATCACTAGGTATAGGTAAAAAAAAAAATTACACTTACAATAAGAACCACTGATCCAGATGCTTTTTAGATTTACATTCAATTCTGTGAGTTTGCAGATGAGACAGTGGGTTCAGTAACTCCTAAAAGGCACAATAAATTATATAAGATCAAGACAAGTTGTTTTACTGCCCCCAAAGTCACAGAACTATTTATCGCCAGAGCTGGTCTCCTAATTCCCAGTTCTGTACCAGGAATGGTTGTGATTTTTGTTGGGACAGACAGCTTCACTGTGTTTAATGTCTATTGAACCACACACATAGAAGATCACCTCAAACTACATAAAAGGTTATAATTCCTAAAACAAATCACATGGGTTATATCTTGAAAACATGTACTGTTTTCTTCATCTTTACTCAGTTATGTGACTGATTCTGATTTTAAAATCACAATAGAGGATAAAAGAAAAGCCTATAGTCCAAATAAAAGAAAAACTTTTTTTGTTTGTTTTGTTTCTGTGGCTCGCTCCTTTGAACTTGAAGCTTCTCAAAATTAGGAACTGATTTCATTTTGTCATGGCAGTAACTACTTTAGTACTTTGTAAATAGTGGTTTTTATGAATAATTTGGAGTCTTGGCATGGCACTGTAGGATAAATACTGGACTGCTAACCACAAGATTGGTGGTTCAAATCCACTAGCCATTCTTTGGAAACATTATGGAGGGTCACTGTGAGTCCAGGCTCCACAGCACTTAACAACAATGAATAGTTTCGAAGATCCCTGGTGGTATGATAGTTAAGTTCTTGGTTAGCCTATTTTGTGGAGAACAGATCTGGAAATCTCAGCTTGTAAGATTATAGCTTAGAAAACAAGATGGGGCAGCTCTGTTCTGTCCTGTAGTGTGACTCAGAAGTGACTTGACAGCACACAAATCAACGACATGAATAGTTTACTATTAAAACTTAAGTGTTGCCTTTGGATTCCTTAACTTAAACTCTTAGGAGTGGTTTTGTTTGCATTATACAGGATCTGATGCTTTAAAGAACATGCCAGATAGTTTGGATAAATTTATTTGCATTTATAGTACTGTATTATGGTAGTCAAGGAGCTCTGGTAGCGTAGTGGTTATGAATTGGGCTGCGAGCCTCAGGGTCAGCAATTTGAAACTACCAGCTGTTCAACGGGAGAAAGATGAGGCTTTCTGCTCCCGTAAAGATTTACAGCCTTGGAAACCCTGTACAGGGTCGCTGTGAGTTGGAACCGACTCCACGGCACATAACAACCAACATTATGGTAGTCACTATGTGTCTGAATCGACTTGACAGCACTTAACAATTTCAACAACAAATTATGGTAGTTGATACTCATAATAAATATCGCCTAGGGACTAAAATATTTAAAATACATATTTTCTGAATTATGAGCATTTGCATTAATTTTAATATAATTTTATGTGTATTTCATATTGTATTATATATGTTACATTGCTGTTACAATACTCACATAACAATATTAATCTCACATTATTGTAGATGCCAATTTTGAAATAATTCTGTAACTCTCAGATCACTAATAAGTTTAATCATAAATTGTCATTGTTTATTTTTTCTGGATATTTTAATTTGAATATTTTTTTTTCAAATTGGCATGATTAAATAACTTACTTCTAATAAGTATATTTGACGTTTAATTATTTAATTTCTTTCTATTAAGTCTTTTTATTCTTTTTGTACCTCTAGATTCAGAATTATAATAGCTCTGAAAAGGAACTTGAACTATTAGATAATCTCTCATTTTTTGTGTGGAAAACTAATATTAAGAGATTTGTCTAAATATAGAAGTTTTATGTAGATTCTGAAACTTGCTCCTGAATGTAGAGTAGCTAAAAGTAAGTGGAAGAAATGATGATGTAAAACAGCTGAACAGAAAATTTCAAAGGACTATTCAAAAATACACAGTAAAGTATTATAATGAAATGTACAAAGACGTGGAGTTAGAAAACAAAAGGAGAAAAACATGCTCAGCATTTCTCAGCTGAAAGAACTGAAGAAAAAAACCTCAGGTTTCGATTTATAATATTAAAGGATTATATGGGTGAACTGGGAGCATGGTGGCTCCATGTGATAAACATTGAACTGTGAATCACAAGGTCCATGGTTCAAGCCTGCGAGTCACTCTCAGGGAAAAAGATAAGGCTTTCTGTTGCCATGAAGATTTAAAGCTAGTGATGTTAACATGTTTTGATGTAATTTTTATGGTTTTGAATCTGTTTTGCATATCATCTCAGTTGTTTCTCATAGCCACCTTGTGAGGTAACTACTATAGGTCCTCATTTGACAGATGAACAAATGAACCCCTGCTTTAAGAGATGTAACTAGAATTTGAGCTTTGGTTCTAAATGTCATGCTGTTTTTACTATCCATCACTATAATAACTTGGAAGTAACAAAGTCTTATTGGGTATACGTTTTGTTATTGCATACATTCTAAATATTTGAAAGTCGATGATAGATTTACCTTTTATTGTTATGTCCTCTGGAATCAACTCTGAGGCATAATGACTTCCTTCATGTGACAGTGTAGAACTACCACATAGGGTTTCCTAGGCTGTAATCTTTAAGGGGGCAGCTCACTAGGTCTTTTCTCCCAAGTAGCCTCGGGATGAGTTCAGACCCATCCAATTAGCAGCCCAGTGCTTAAACACTGTACCACCAAGGTACTATTTATAGCTATACTAATTATTCAGTAAGGAGCCTCTGATAGCATAGTGGTTACGAATCGGCCTGCGAGACTCAAGGTCAGCAGTTCAAAACTACCAGCCGTTCCATGGGAGAAAGTTGAGGCTTTCTGTTCCCATAAAGATTTATAGCCTCGGAAACCCTGTACAGGGTCTCTGTGAGTCGGAATCGACTCCACGGCACACAGCTCTAGCACAATTATTTAGGGCTTACTTCTCTTTAGAAATTTGGTGGACTTATACTACTCTTGAAATACTTAAAATAGATGCAGCTATTTTTGTGGATGAAGGCTTTATTCTTAACATGACTATCAGCATGTATTACCTAATTATTTGTATGTTAAAATGTTTAAAAGAGTAGTAGTGATGACTTTTAGAAATATATTGAACTATGGATAAGCACAGTAGGATAAGCACTCTTCCTCGAGGTTTCTCTGAACCACAAGGTTGGTGATTCAAACTCACTAGCCGCTCCTCGGAAACCCTATACAGGGTTGCTATGAGTCAGCATCAACCCGACAGCACTAAACAACAACAACATCTTGAAAAGCTTTGCTTCTCTCTTAGTCCTGGGTTCTTAAGTTCTGATTCTGTTTTTAAATATGACTCTGGATATCTGGATAAGTCACTTGATTTCTCTGAGCCTTGGGACCCTTACTTGGGAAAAGGGTAATATGATATCTGCTATGGTGTGGCTGTGTAGGATAAGCATTGGACTGCTAACCGCAGGGTCAGCAGTTCAAACCCATCAGCCACTCCTCAGAAACCCTCCACAGGGTCACTGTGAGTCAGAAAAGACTCAACAGCACACAACAACAACAATAAAAACAGTAGCGTAGTGGTTACAAATCGTGCTGCGAACTGCAAGGTCAACAGTTCGAAACTACCAGCTGTTCCTCCAGAGAAAGATGAGGCTTTCTGCTCCTGTAAAGATTTACAGCCTTGGAAACCCTATGCAGGGTCACTATGAGTCGGAACTGACTCCACGGCACATCACCACCACCACCACCACCTTTACAGAATCTTCGTGAGACCCAGATTCATGATGACTGTGACAGTAATATAAATGTTGTTGTTGTTTATATTACCATCGAGTCAGTTCCTACCCATAGTGACCCTGTGGTTTCCAAGGAGCGTCTGGTGAGCTTGAACTGCTGACCTTGCAGTTCAAACAGCTTTGCAGTCTGGTGCATGAACCCACATAGACGTTGTTTTTGTTGTTATGTACCATAGAGTTGGTTCCGACTCATAGCGACCCTGTACAGGGTTTCCGAGGCTGCAAATCTTTATGGGAGCAGAAAGCCTCATCTTTCTCCCATGGAACAGCTGGTAGTTTCAAACTGCTAACCTTGTGGTTCGCAGTCCGATTCGTAGCCACTACGCTACCAGAGCTCCTTACATAAACTTATGCCTATGTAATTTTTAGCATGTACTAGAACTGTTTTCCCAGTCCATTTCGCTGGGGGTCTTACTCTTTTTCTCTGACCCGCCACCCTACCAAACATGGATTGGGTAAGTGGCAGCATCAGTGGGCTCAAATGTGGCAACAATCGTGAGGTTGGCCCAGGATCAGG